ATTTTTGATATTTTACTGTAAAAGAAAAAAATCTTGTTTCATTGCTGCACTGAGTGATGGTTGGCCTTTTCTTATTAAATTTCCTCTTCGCATTTCAGCCGCACATAATCCTAGAAGGTCACCGGTTGGCATTAGCAACACTAGGAATGAATGGTCGTGATGTCACATCCTAGAAATGACAAATTAGTTTGTTGGGTCTCTCATTATCCATCATGTCTCTTGCTGTGATGGAGACTAGAAAAATTCAAGACGGAATTATGACCTGAAATTTCCTGAACACCAAGAAATAAGGGTTGTTAGTGGATCTTTACTGTCCACCCCTCTCTTCATGCAGACTTCGATTTTAATGGTTTGTGTGTGTGTGTGTGTGCGTGTGTGTATGTATGTGTGTGCACGCATTGTGAGATACTGTCCTGGGTAGCAGTTCTTTGCTTTCATAACTAATGATGCAAAAAGGAGAGAAGGAGAGAAAAAATAGAGTTCTATTAAGACAGAAGTGAAGTTAAATCATAATCAAAGACTATCTGAGTTTGGAAGGGATTGAAAGGTCTCTCTGTGGAAGTCTTGTCACTTATAAATAAAGCCAAAACCCTGTAGCACTGTCTGCATTTCCCTTGAACTTCAAGAAAGGCTGAGAGGTCTTGGACGAGTCACCGAACATTCCTGGATTGTTAAAACGATCACTTGTTGCTTTCCAGTCACTTGTTGCAAAATATGATTGCAATATACTCTGGAAGCCGATACTAAGATCCAGAAATACACTGGATGGTGGGTTGTTTATAAATGCAAATCTTTCTTTTATTTTCTAATGCAATCATTATTCATCCGTCTAATCCATTAATAAGTGCTGATTGCAGACCTAGAGTCAGTGGGGAGCAAAGCCAGACCCAGAGAAGGTCCCTGCTCTCGGCTGAAAGTGGCAAAAATGGTAAGTGGTGTGGGTGAGCGGGGACTGAGCCAGGAGAGCCGGTTCGGAGGGCTGGCCTGTCTGGGAGCTGGAGGAAGCTTTCTCTGAGCAGTGAATCCGAAGGAGCATCTGAAGGGTGCACAGGCATTCACTGGGTGAGGAGGGAAGGGAAGATCATTCCAGGGGGCGGGAGCAGCAGTTTTGTAGGTTGGGGAGGGATGGAGAGAAAGCTCAGGCAGGACCATGCAGGGAGCAGTGTCGGGGAGAGACTGGAACCATCACTGAACAGGAGTCAGACCCCTGAGGCTTTTAGGTAAAGGCTGACGATGTATCGTCCAAACTGGGACACTTCTGCAGGTGAAAGGGCGCTGTTAATAACAAAGCTGGAAAAACAGGTAAAACCTGTGATGTAGGATCCAAGACGCTATTGAAAAACCACCAGAAGAAGTTTCTCCCTTTATTTGAAGTGACTCCACCAATGGATTTCAAGCCACGAGACTGAAATGGTCAGATTTGGCTTTTGAAAGTGACTCTGTTGTAGTGTGGAGGGAGGATGGATGGAGGTCCTGGAGTGGGAGTGAGGGGACCTGTTGGGAGTCCAGTGTCGAGGTGTAGGGGAATTTGGACTAGGACGGAAGAGGTGGAGATCAGGAGAAGTGAACTGTAGGAGAGAATTTAAAGTTCACAGCCTCAGTGATGGGGGGCCGATGGCAGTAAGAGCCCTAGTTTGTTTCCACCTCCTTGTCTCCACGCCCTTTGACATCGTCCTCCCAACCTGACTCGGGGCTTGAATGGCAATTTGTTTTGGCCAGTGGACTAACAGCAAATGCCTCTTAAGCAGAGACATGAAAAACAGACGTGCGTTGCGCTGAGACTCTTGATGCTCTTGGACTCTGGAAACCGATCTGGGCCAGCTGACTGCAGGACGGGGAGCAAGTGGAAGGAGGTGCGGGCATCCCTGTGGATGCCCTCATCCCTCATCAGCCTCAGAACCAGCGCGGAGAGCAGGCAAGCCGCGCTCAGACCAGGAGGACCGCTCGGCTGAGCCTGCTAGAATGGCCAACCTGCCAAATCCAGGACCTGGTAAATAGTGGTGGTTTTATTTTAAGCCCTTCCATTTTGGTTTGATTTGTGACATAGCGGGAGGTGCAGAAGCTGTCACTGAGAGAAAACTCCGGGCAGAACATGAGGTTTGGATAAACCCGTTTCATTTAGATGTGCGGATTTGGAGAAGTGATGAAGATATTTCAGGTGTGACGTCACAGGGGAGTGGAGATCCGTGTCTGGAGCTCAGAGGAGAGCTTTGGGGGAGATGCAGATGTGTGTGTCATTTGTGTGGCTGAGAACCTCCAGGGAGGGGGTGTGGAGGGTGGGGAGGGGAGGGCAAGGGAGGGGGTCTAGAAACCTACTGCTGGGATACGGTGAGGTCTCAGAGGTACCTGGGAGGGGCGGGCAGAGTAGGAGGAAGACAGTGTGCTGTGTAAAGGAGGCTTAGCTGACCACCATCAGAGTCGTGATAAAGGATAAAATCAGCTATAGAACAAATCTGTTGGGTTTTTTTTTTTTTACATTTAACTGCTGCAGGATTCAATAAAACAATACCAAATGGTCCATTTTTGTTTCCCCAAGAGGAGAAGTTGAGTGATAGGCACTAAGAAATATCAAATGTCTCTGCTTTCATACCTTTTGGCACATGGGGTTGGGGACCATGGTTTTGGTGACCCACAGGCATGGGATGAACCCATTTTCTGGCTGGAAATGGAGGAGCATTGCCTGGCAGCTTGGGCTCTGGGCACTCTGTGTGGTAAGGGGCGTGCTGCCTGGAGTCCCTCTCCTGCACCTCTGTTCCCTCTCAGGGCCACTGTGCTTGACTCTCACATACTCACGTCCAAGCCTTGGCTTGGAAAATGATCTTATACCCTCATTTATACTATAATGCAAATGACTGATAGGCCCAAGTCTTTTGTTTTGCTCAGAACACTAAATTTTAAACATGAAATATCTCTCTAATTTGGGAAATGCAGTTGTGTGAGTGTGCAGAACATGCTTTAATATGCCGCGTCTGGCAATACTGCCCTGCAGTCTGCTTTTATATGTTGAAAAGAGAGCCCCATGGTCACAGATGGTGGTTGTTTTGGGTGCTTTCAGTCTAGAATTAGCACACCTTGGGGACTTATTTTTTCTCCCCACAAAACCCTGTTTCCCCTCCTAGATGTCCTTTCATGATTTAATAATACCACGCGTCTCCCTTTTCTCCAGCTGAGAACTATGGAGGTACGTTTGGCCCCGCTCACCTGCCACATTCCAGTCCTGTGATTCTGCCTCGTCCAACCCTGTTCGCCTCATCTCCATCCCTTCCTGCCGTTTCAGGATGAGATCAAGCCATCATCAACTCCCAGCTGGCCTGATACCGCTGCCTTCTGACCCTTGTTCTAAGTCTGTCTTCGTTTCCATCCAGCCTAGGAGTTTTGTCACAAGAATTGCTTTTCTTATGTTTAGGTCTGATCTTGTCCCATCTTCTTTATATCCCTTTGATGCATTTTCTTGTAGGATGAAACCTAAGCTTCTTGACAGAGGACCCGCAGCCCCTCCTAAGGGCTGCCTAGCTAGTTATTTTTGTTCAAAGTTAGATCGGAATTGCAAGAGACCAAGAGCAAATCTAGCCAAAGGATTTCACTCTCCCTTCATTCCCAGCCCACAGTTCTATGTCCCTTCTTGAAGATGCAATTCTTGAATTGTGCCGGGGATCCTGGACACAGGGTGGGTTTGCTCAGTCACTCCATTGAGGGGACCCTGTGAGTTACAGCTGAGTGGGACCAGCTGGTGACATCAGGAAGAGGTGCTCAAGGGGAAAAGGGGTCTGACCCCATATGCCTTTGTACAGAAATGGGCGGGGGGCCCTGAATACATCTTTCCACCTCTCTTCGACCTCATTTGGGACACTGATGAGCAGGGCGCCCCTGATATTTTATGGAAATATACAAGTAGTCAACCATGATGACCCAACCTGCAGAGGGGTCATGCCCTTTGGCCTCTCCTCACCTTCGCTCCACCTCCCAGCACCCGCTTTCCAGCAGACTTGCCTTCTCTCTCCAGTGGCCGGGGATCTAGCATCCCCAGAGGGGCGGGATAGAGGACCGGAGCCAGCAAACGCCATCTGTGCATCAGTCCCTCCCGCTTCTCTAGAGAAAGTAACATCCAAACATGCAGTGCCCAGGAGCCTCGGTCTCAGGTAGGGGATTTCTCCAAGGGTTCCCTTAACAGGTCCTCATTACCCTACCTGGTCACCTTTCTGGACTCAGCTCCTGGCGTTGACCCAGGTGAACCCTGAGATAATATCAGATCAGGTACTCCTCTTCCTGGAAGCGGTCCCCACCCGCCTTCTTTCCTTTTTTAAAGGTGGTCACTCTCCCAGAAATGGATGCCCGTTATCTCCCTTCTTTGCCTTGAGAAGCCCATTCCTCATTCATGGTCCGGCTCCAACAGCACCTGCACCATGAGGACCACATCACCTGGGACCCCTCAGCGTTCTGTTTTGCAGAATATGTGTGTGTGTGTGTGTTTCCTATTTACTAAGGTCCAGAGGTCAGGGAATCGATTCTTTCCCTTTACACCCTAGGTACATAGCACATGAAGTGTGAGCGAATAAATGAACGAGAATGTAACACTTGGGTTTGAGCCAGACCTCTGTCAGTGCAGGACATCGTCCCTTTTTGTGGGACCCTCAGCCGGGGCAGCCTTGGAGCCGCCATCTGGGGAGCCTGCCTGACATCTTGGGACCATTAGGAGATGATCGGGCAGGAAGCTCCCTCCCTGCTCAGCTGTCATCACAAGTTACCGCTTTCAGGTGTTAACTGAAACGACCCAATTAAGCAAGTGTTTTAAAGCCCTGAATTCTTGTTGAGCAGAGAAAAAGCTCAATTATTCAAAGGCTCCTTTTAAAGAAGTCTGCCTTGGGCGGACACAGAAACCAGGTTACTTTTGGTCAGACAGAAATAACTTCATTATTTCCCTTTCCGACTATAAAATGATACACAATGATTATGATTTTTTACACTGTTTTATTTATTTTCTTCTTATAGTTGAAAACTAAAATCTCACCCCCAAGAGATGTCATTATTAGCCGTATGATATAGATCCTTTCTGGGTTCTTTACTTTGATGTATCTGCAAATATACATATACACCCCCTGTGATTTCCCCAAATGTGGGAAACTCGACTGCATAATTTGTGGTAGTGGGGGACTGCGTTCGCGCTCTCCCCTGGAAAAAAAAATATACATATACACAAGAAATATTCTGATAGTTGTATTTCTATATATATGTGTATATATATATACACACACACACATATACACATATATTTATACATAAGCTGTGTGTATTATATATGAATTATATAAACTATATATCTGTATTTTTTGGCGGAAATGGGGTCACACTACATACAATGTTCTGGGTCCTGCATTTTTCTATGATAAAATAGATTAGTCAAATTCCTACATCACTTGACACTTAGCCAATATATTTTTATCATTATGAATACTTTCTTTTCAATGTTATGTTGAATGAATATTCTGGTATTTATTTAATCTCTTATTGGTGGATATTCATGTATCAAAATTTTAACTATATTTTACATAGTTAAAAATACATGGTTTTGTCCACTTGTCTAGGCTTTTATTTAGAGTTGAGTCTTGCTAATGGCATTGCTGTGTTAAAGCCTTTAACATATTGTTTGTGTGTGTGTGTGTGTGTGTGTTTTTTTCCTAGGGGGGAGGTAATTAAATTTCTTTATTTTTTAACTAATTTTTTTTTCTTTTTTAAAAAATTTCCATTTGTTTTATTTAATTTTTGATTAATTTTTGATTTTATTTTTTAGTGGAGGGACTGGGGATTGAACCCAGGACCTTGTGCATGCTCAGCGCATGCTCAGCACATGCTCTACCGCTGCGCTCTCCCCTCCGCCTGCCTTTAGCATATCACACAGCCTGTTAGCCACCCGAGAGATTGTACTGACTTGCATTCCCACTATCAATGTAGGACAGTGTCCATTTACCTTGTCCTCACAAATCCTAGATATTAGTAATTCTTTTCATGCTTGCTAATTTAGTAGGTAAAGATGAGATTTCATTACTTGGTTGACAAGAGCCTTAATTGTTAGCAAGGTTGATTACTATGTCCTGTGGTTATGTCCACCTTTCCTAAATAGTCATAACCTTGCCCATTTTTTATCATATGTTATTTATCCTTTACTCGCTTTTATGTTCTGTTCTCCCTCCCCTGTCGATCTGTGAAATTGTCTGCCAACTTTGAGGCCAGTTCAGTGAGGGTTTGCTAAAGAAGAAACAAAAACCCAACCAAGATAGATTCTGCCAGAATGTATCAAGTCGTTTAGAAAGAGGAAGTGAAAATCTGGGGGAGCCCCTGGGAATGTGAGGTCCCTGCGAGTCAGCTAGCACATTTCTGCCCCTGCTCTGTATTCCTTTAACACTCCCCCGCAAGTCTGTTCATTTTATCTGCGTGGAAGCTACAGCATGATTTGTTAACCGGAGATGCGTGAACTTCCAAGGGATCTGTGGGTAGAATTCTAGAGATTTGTGTTAGGTGGGAAAAAAAATTATATCTTTATGTGCACGGACATCCTGAAGTCTAGTATTTCTTTCAATTATAAATGCGGGCAACAAACCATTGTAATAATAGCAGTTCCTGACACCGATCAGTTCCCAAACCACCAATATTTTGAAATCACATCACTGCTGTCGAAGATATCCTGTGTTACCACTTCTCATCACTACTATGAAATGAGACTAGTCTTGTTGGTTTCTAAAGAAGCACATGTTACTCTATCTTTTTATTACAAAAATGTGAAATCTTTTCTTGGTTGTATTTTGCTACAGTTGGTTTCTTTTGTAATCCTGTGCATTTTGCTTTATGCACTGAAAAAGACAATTTTGAGAAGGGGTCTTTAGGCTTCAAGGCACACATAGGTTAAGAATCCCAGAGCTGGAGAGAGGGACAAGATTACCAGAAAATTCTAACTTGCTCCTGGTGAGAACCTCTTTAGGCTTCCCTCCTTTGCCCTGACATCTCCTTTCTCTGCATCCTTCCCCTGAAATCCCTGTCATAAGTCCCTGGAAGCTTTATAAGTGTTACAGCAAATAGATTCACATCCACCTATGTTCCCCATTAAATACATTTTTATTATAAAAACCTGAAACAATTAATAATAATCGGATTTTTTTTTAAGTCACTTGGTTGTGAGAAAGTAATTTAATTTACAACTAACTGCGATTTCTTGACAACCAGTGTGCTTACTCAGGGGTTCTTGCAAGGCGGGAAAGTCTAACATACAAATTGTTTTCTAAATCTAATGAAATTTTTATGAGCACTAAATTTAACAATTAATGAAGTTGACCTAATGATCTGTTGTGTGCACATTTAATTAAACATTTAGCAATGGTAGTTTCACCATTTTCTTTTCGTATTTTGGAGCCATTTTTTTTTTTTAAGTTTTGTTTGTAGGTCCTGAGAAGCCCTGGGGCCCTGAGGCCAGCTCGGGTGCCATCCCCTGGGATACTGTACCACCCAGGGGCAAATCAGCAGCCCTTAGCTTCAGCCTTTTCACAGACCACATCGTCCACCTCTTGCCCTTAGCTGAAACCTCCCCAGGTAGAGGGTGCTTTCCTACCACCGTCTGTTTGCAGCTTCATTCTGTCCACATATGTCATCCTCTAGAACTCCTTCATTTTTTATTTAAAAAAGTTCTTTTTGGAGTGGAGGTAATTAGGTTTATTTATTAACGGAGGGGCTGGGGATCGAACCCAGGACCTCACGCAGGCTAGGCACGCGCTCTACCACTGAGCTACACCCTCCCTCTCCAGCACCCCTTTACCTGATACCCACTGTCTGACCCTGTCCGCTCTTCGAGAGCCAAGTCAACCGTCTCCCCGCTGCTGTCAGGCATCACCAGGGACAACTTTCACATCCTTGGAGACCAGCCATCCTGCCTCCTGACCTCAGTGCTTTGCAGCCGGGATTCAGCTTTATTTCACGGTGCGTCTCCAGCTCCCCAGACAACAGAGTCCTTTCTCAAGAAGGATTTGTTTCTTGGGAACAGATGAACGATCATTGCCTCCTCCCTGCCTTCATCAGATTCCTTCATTATCCCCAACACTAACCCTTTTCTGAAATGTTAAAATGTGACATATAAACTTCCAATCACAGCTTCCTATTCGTCTCGCTCTCCACGCCCTCCTCGCGGAATACCTTGTCTTTCCCGCATCTGCATCTCTTTCCTTTTGAACCATCCAGCGTGCACCTCTTTGCTTTGCTTAGACCTAGCTAGACTAGCAACAATGGTACTTATATTATTACTATTTTTATTTTACAGGGAGGAGGTAATTAGGCTTACTTAGTTACTGTTTTTAGTGGAGGTCCTGGGGGTTGAACCTAGGACCTCGCACGTGCTAAGCACATGCTCTACCACTGAGCTATCCCCTCCCCAGCCCCCTACTTATATTAATGACTAGTGTTTCCCAGGGCATCTGCTGCGTCAGACTAGAAGCTGAATGTTTCATGTCCATGGTGGCTACTATTATTCCTTTCATTAAAAAATTAAGCTGAAGCTAAGATAAATTAAATATCTTGTTTAATATCATACAGTTTGAAAGTTACCGAGCTGAAACTTTTTGTCATTCTCCATGATTTATATCTACATATGGAGAGATGTGTCTAGAGAAATCTCTCTCTCTCTGTGTCTACACTGTGGCGCTCCCAGGTGGTGAGCTAAAACTCACTTTGGAAGGATAGAAAAAGAGCAAAGGCTTCTGGGTAATGGCCAAACTTGAGGGGCCATCCCCACCATTTCCTGGCTGCAGCTGTCTCCTTGTTCTTGATATAAATGGTCAGCCGGATCCTTCCCCCACGTCCCATGCGTTTTCATGGTGGGTTCTCTGCGGCAGGACAACAAAGGTTGGGGGAGCCATCGTCTGTTTCCCCAGGAGGCTTTATATGTTTTCTTGGACTCCGGTCCTCAGCCAGCTAACGTCCTCTGGTGCTGGCTTTCCCTGTTCCCCCCACCGTGTCCCCAGCCTGCTGTGGTTGAAGTATTCTGCAAGCTAAGGTGAGGTGAGTCCAACTCTTCCTCATGCCCCCTGACGCACTATCCATCTGGACAGTTAGAAAGTGGAGCTTTACCGTCTTTCTTCTCCACATCCTACCACCCCCTCTACCCTGATGATTTTCTCCTCTTCTTTATATGTGTTCCTCCATTACCCATTGGAGAGTCTTAGCTTCTAACAGGAGCTGATTTCCAGTTTTATCATAGCTGCTAATGTGCTGTGTGACCTTGGACAAGGCACTCAGACTCTCTGTGCCAGTTTCTCTTTCTGTAAAAGAAAGATGTTTTCCCAGCTCCCTTCCCGGCACGCTGTTCTGGGACTAGAGTACTGTGGTGGCGCCTGTAGTCAGATGTCCACATGTTTTTGTTTGCACAGTCTTGCTGGAGACACCCTGAACTCTCTGCTTCAGGACAGTTGCACACCCAGGCTCTAAGCTTTGCACACAGGATGGGCGGCCGCTTGGAGGGCCCCCCTCTGGGAGGAGACTTGGCTGCAACTCGAAATATATTTCCTCAAGCTTCAGCATGGGTTCAGTTCCTGAAGCCAGCTCTCAAACATCTTTATCAAGTTTCTTACTCATAGCCTATATTTCAGTACTGCTTTTTAAAATATCTGGCAGTGTCTGGAAAGGGACCATTCTCAAGGTATGTCTTTGTCAGAGAATTGGTTATCACTCTTGTGAGCACCCAAAATGAATATTTAATTCTTCTGATGTAAGTCCTCATAAAAGATATGGAATATTATCTTGTCCTCTATAAATAGAAGACATTGAATATAATTTAAATGTCCTGTGTACTAAGGTCCTCTCTTTTATTCCTTTATTCTGCGCATATTTATTAAACTCCAAATTATGTGCTGAGCGCTGGGCTCAACGTTGGGTGTTTAGTGTCTGAATTCATTTGCAGATTTAGCGCCTTCAAAATGCCTTACGAAGGCGCCACTTAATACGACTTGACTGTTGTGCTGTTATGTATTGAAGCTGGAGTTTTGAGCAAGGATAAGGGAGGGCTTCTGCCCAGAACATCAGATTTGGTGGGCAATTCACATGCTCAGTCAGTTGAGAGCTGAGTCAGCCCTGTCTCTAATGGTCCTTTTCGTCATCTGGTCTTGGGCATTCTCCCAAAAAAGAGCGGGAAATGGTTT